ACGTGACAAAGACCAACCATGTTGCCTCAGTCAAGTGGAACAAAGCAAGTAGATCAAGCTACGGTCAAGATTCATTTCCTCAGCCAACGATGGAGATGCAATGATCAAATCTATAAATACAGAATGATTGCGGGAATACCAAGTGTGGTAAAACGAGAGGATCCATGCGGATAGAAGGAAATCAAACTCTACACGATGAAATCCAGTCAACTGATTTCCCTTATACACTTTGGCTACCACCCCACTCGTCTAATGCTCTTAGACTAGCTACAATTCATACAAATCTATAGAGCTTAGATTAGTTGGTAGTTTAGCAATACACCCATGTATTCTAGACTAATGTTAGACATTCTGGAGGGCTTTGTGATCAAATCCAGAAGGTGAGAAAGGTCAAGGACATGAGTGGCTCTTGGCAAGTCAATGCCATTAGTGAAAAACCTTGGGTGGACTGAGTAACTTGGAACGGTGTTTAAGTTCCTTGTGAAAAACGTCACAATCTATGCCTGGGCCAAGGGTAGATTGGGGCATTAAATGTAATGGGATATTCATTTAGTGGAAATGCATCTGAAATAGGTTGGGACTGGGTGTAGGAGGATTACACCACCTCTGAACCAGGATATATCTTGTGTCACCCTTTGCATTCAGCTCCTAACATAAATTCAGTACTTACTCACCTTCACAACTTCACAGCAAAACAGCTTGCTCACTAAAACTATCCAGTGAACATTTCTAGTTCAATGTGAGTCATCTCCTTGTTATCTGTTCTTCAAAGTGATCTATTTCTATAGGTTTAAATCCTTTATACTCATGTGTTAGACTTGCTCTAAAGCCTATCAATATGTTAGAGTATAGTTCATTGTTGTACCTTAACTAATTGAAGCAGAAATGCCATTTCGGCAGCATGCTCCCAAGGGTTTTGGCAGTCACGTCCAAACTGCCAGGCAGCTAACTCCTCCTAGTTTCGACAACATGCTCCTTGAGTCATTTGCTTCTGGCAAACACATTTGTGTCATGTTTAATCCATCTCTCTCACAACTAAAAGGATCATAACCTTTGTTTCTATAAAGTGTTACCCTCTTGAGGTCAAGACTTCTGCTGCATGTTTCAATATCTCCCAAAAGATATTGGAACACATTTTGTTAAAAGAAAAAGGGGCTGAAAAACGAAAAGATTTAAAAGTCTATTCACCCACCCTCTAGACTTTTACCTCACTTGGGACTCAGTTGGTATCAAGGGCACTCATCACATTGTAAGTAATGCGTGACAAGTACGCTTATCTCAAAAGATAAGAATCTGATGGTTGTGAAGAAACGAAAATGCATCCAACGGATAATCTAAGAATTCCTTATCAACCTCTACATTCTATAAATACTGATGTCCTGAGTTATCACACTTCATCAAAACCTCTATCTCAAAATCTATATTTTATCTTTTTCCCTTTACGAGCAAAATGACTTCAAGATCAAGTAGTTACACCATAGCTGAAGACGCATTGTTGTGTCAAATGTATTTATACATAACTCAAGACCCAATCATCGGCAAATATCAATCTGCAAATGGTTTTTGGTCACGAGTTGAGGCTAAGTACAATGAACAACGTCAACAAAATCACGAGCATCGTAATGCACGTTCACTGCATTCAAGAATGGATACAATAAGTATTCAGACACGGAAGCTAAATGGGTGTGTGAAGCAAGTTGAGAATTTAAATCCAAGTGGTGCTTCTGAAAAAGATATTGTAAGTATAATATAATTTTAATTTTCAATAATTTATTTACTTTTATGTAATACAAATTTATTTTTATGATTTGCAGCTGGATCGTGCTAAAGTTTTATTTATGCAAGATCCAAAATATTTTAAAGGTTTTAAATTTGACCATGTTTGGGATATGATTAAAAATTTTGAAAAATTTAAAGATAATGTGTCAACTACAAGACATGCTGCTCCACAAAAAGACAAGTCAATTACGACTCTTCCCAATCAGACTCCCATCCACCATCTCCAATTTCCTCATCACTTGGATTGTCATCTTCGTTCAATAAAGAAGTTGATACTGATTCCGGGTCAGATTTTTCAAAACGGCCAATAGGGGTAAAAAAGCCAAATTGAAGAAGAAAAACGATGAAGACACTACTGTTTTGCTTAAGTCAGTTAAGAGCGACAATGAGCAACTTATAGAGATGTTGAAGAAATTGTCATTAGATCGATAGGAACAATTGCAAATCCAGCGACAAAATATAGCAAACAAAGAACAAAGGAGAGAAGATAAAATTATGTTCATGGATTTGAATCCTAGTCACGATCCACAACGCGCGAGCGTATATCATTGCAGAAAGATCAAGAATTTTACAAAAAAATCTCAAGAAAGAGGATCATCGGCTGGATTTGGGAATCTATTTGATGGTCTTGGAGGGTTTGGAAGCGGGTTGAATGACTACTTTTTTCTAAATTAGTATGTACTATGTGTGTTTTTAGTTATGTTTTAATTTTAATTATAATGGTGTTATTAATTGTAATTTTAATTATGTTATTTTCTCAAGTATCATTTGTATTCTGTTATTATGTTGTTTGGATTTAAAACATTATTTATAAGTGTGATTTAAATTTTAATATATTTTTTTTCTATCAAATTAATAATTTTAATTTGTTGTTCTATAAGGATGTTTTTACTGGGACTGTAATTGGTCTCAAATCAGATCAGACCGGATTAGACCAGACTTGGGTAGTTATAAAAATACTAAGAAATCAGACCAAACGACATCAGTTTAGACCAGACCAAATCAAACCAGACCAGAGCAGAGTAGCAAATTTCAATCCAAGTAAAAACATCCTAATTTGTTGTTTTAAAAATGGTTCAAAACTCTAACAATCAAAACTTTGGGTCACATTTGAAAAAAAAAAATTAAAAACGAAGATGGCGCTTGATATGGCGTAAAGCCAACCCCTCTCCCCCAAAATGGTGAAATGGTGTAAGAGATGGTGTAGCTGTTGGAGCAATATTTTGGCAAATCCAACATTTTGGTGTATGATTTGATGCTTGTTGGAGAAGCTCTTAGTACAAGGGTAAGATTGCATACGTCCAACCCCCTTACCCCATCAAAGGTGTGTGAGCCTTTGCGGCATTGGGATAATGATGATGATTATTAGGGGGTGTTTGGAACCGATTCTGCTTCTACTTCTTTTTTAAATCAGAAGTAGAATCAGAATCAGTTTTCAGAAGTTGGTCCCCCAAGCACCTAAAAAACCGATTCTAAGAGTAAATTAGAGCCCCAGATTCACTTCTGCACTTTCACTCAAACACTCTAGCTTCTGCATCTACTCCCTGAAGAAGCAGAAGCAGTTTTAAGAATCAGATCCAAACACCCCTTTATTAATCATTACTAATGGTGAAAAGTGAAGACAATGGAGGGCTGGTAGTGGCTCAAACTTCCTAGAAATAATATGTTGATTTTTCCTTGGCTTGCGAAACATAAAATTTTTGAACTCCAAACTCAAAGTTACATTTCTACACCAACCAATCACTATTTATTTTGATTTAAAAATAAAATATTCCCTCCGTCCCGCTAAGATCTTCCTGCTTTCATTTTTTAGCCGTCCCAAAATGATCTTCTCATTTCCCTAAATGGAAAGTTATCCTACATCAAAACAGTGTCGAACAGTGCCAAACATGCCAAACAGTGTCGAAACCGTGTACTCTACAATAAAGTCAAATTTATTTCCTAAATATGTGTATAGATCAAAGTAGGAAGTTCAAAAAAAAAAAAAAAAATCAAAGTAGGAAGTTCTTAGCGAGACGAAGGTAATATGTTTAAGAATTTGGAGTTTAATTCTCCGTACTCCGTAACTCAAACACGATAAGAATCATAAGAGAAGAGATTAAGAGCTGCCGTTTTCAGTTTTCACTAAGGGTGGGCAATTCGGTTTACGGTTCGGTTTTCTTCGGTTTCGGTTTATTCGGGTTGAGAGAATTTGTACCAAACTAAAACCATTTGTTTTTCGGTTTGGTTTCGGTTCGGTTTGAAGTTCGGTTTACCAAAGTAAAAAATATTATGTTTAATTTAGTTTGATTTGAGTCGTTTGCTTATGATTATTATTTTATTTTATCAAGTTCTATATTTTAGAATTAGAAAATGAAAGTAGTAGTCCATCTCATATTTTTTTAATTTATTGATTATTTAAATAAAATGTAAAAGGAAATAAAAGATAGAAAAATAAATAATAAAATATTATAAATTAAAACTTCTAACATCTTTTTTATCACTACAAAATAATCACTTTTTACAAAAAATAAGATAATTGATTAGCATTTATAATATCACATAAAATATTTAAAAAAAAACCTAAAAGAGTCAGTGATACAAATGTTGTAATATTCACAATTTTATTCAAATGAATCATCTAAAAATATAAATGCAATTTGTTATTGTTGTTGTCAAACATAATAAATAAAAATATGTCGTATTAGCTAACTTTGTCATAATGAATGTATGAAATGTGTAAAAGTTAAAATGATACGAGTATATGCTTAAATATGTATTTTCATGTCTAAATTATTTATTTATATCTTAAAAATGAAGAGTGAAGATAATTACAAAGTATACACACACACACACACATATATATATATGTGTGTGTGTGTGTGTGTTTTCGGTGTTCGGTTCGGTTTACGGGTTTTCCGTTTTAAACCAAACCAAAGTACCAAACCATTCGGTTTGAGCAAATGTTTACGAAATGGTTTACACTTTACATAAGTAAACCCAAACTAAATCAAACCACCAATTTTGATAATATATGAATGTTTTTTGAATTTCTTTAGTTCGGTTCGGTTTTGTTCGGTTTGTATCGGTTTCGATTTGATTCGGTTCAGTTTAATACGATTTGGAAGAAATAGTATCAAACTCAAACCAAATTGCATACGGTCCGATTTAGTTCGATTTGATACGGTTCAGTTCGATTAAACCAAACCGCTATGCCAACCGCTTTTCGCCCAAAATTTAAAGCCGGCTTTCGGACTCAAAATTACTGTACTCAGTTCAGACCCGTGCTAAACCAGAACAGTAGAACACGACCGATGCCCGCCCCCATCAATACACTGCCAGAGCACGAGTAAAAGGGACGTCTTCTTCAATATACCGATATTGCAGACTGTTTTTCTTCCCGCCATGGTCGCCATGGAAGTGGACTCTCAGAGGAACACGGTACTCCAGAGGAAGCAGGCCCTCTACAAATCTTTGGTACAGCAATAAAACAAATCCTATTCTTTTCACACTCTTCGTTCGGTTTACAATTTCCGCTCAATTCAACACGATTGCCGTATTTTTATTTAAATTTTGTTTAAACGGTTGTTCAGGATGAAACCTTTGAGATTCAGAAGTTAACGTACAGGGGTCAACAGTACAGCCAGATTTATTTTGCTAGACTTCACTTGATGAGAACTCTCCTTTACTCTCTTCTCCCTAACTGGAAACCGCATTTGCCTGGTATCCATTTCCTGTCCATATTTGAAGTCATTTCATGTAAAATCTGCATTTATGGCAACGCGTTTAGTAGTTTATGCACATTTCTTTGTTGAATTTGTGCTCAATATCCGCCGTATATTTTAAGCTTCCTAGAATATTCAATAGCAACTTTTTTGAATATCTGTTGAAAAATGGCTTTTTACTTCTCATCTTTCTGCAAGTCGCATGGGATTGGTTAGAACGTCATCTACGTTTCCAATAGTTGCACTTTGATTATAGACTGGGGTTAGAGTTCTGACCTTCTTCCTTTTTCTTGAATATGAATCTTTAGATATGATGTATCAAGATTGCAAATTTTATATATGATAGTCTAGTTCAGGTCAGGAGATACATTCTTAACCTACTTCCGCCATTACCTGAGAAGAAATTTTTGCTGACTTTCAAAATTGAATTGTTTTAGTGTGAACATAAGATTAAACTTTAGCAGTTATTTTTTCTTCCTTTTGCCTCTCCTCTCCAACCCCAGTGAATTCAGTTTATCCTTCCTCCACATTCTTTCTTTGAGGCAGTACTTTCTCAGTGTCTCCACATTACTATTATTTGGTAATGTTTTTAAGTCTTGATCATCTTGGGTCAGCTAAGCTTTCTCCTGTTATCTTACTTTTGTTATTAGGGAGTATAAATTGTTGATTAGTTTTAATTGAATGCAGTCTGTAATGTTCTGGGATTAGAGGAAGGGAAAGAGTGCATTATGGTTGGGACCCTCTACAAGCACATGAAGCTTAAACCTTGCGTTCTTGATGAGTACTCTAAGGGGGTATAGAATACTGATCAATATGTTTTACTCCTTTTTATCTACATATTACATATTTTTCGTTTTTTCCACATTTTGGAATTATGATACTTAATTTAATTAACACCATTAATAACTCAACTTCTGGCATCCAGAGAAATTCTGCACAGATTATACAGAGTCAAACTTTCATGCATCCGGATGATTCTTTAATTTTGGAAGATGAAAGTGGACGAGTCAAACTAAGTGGTAGCTTGTTAGTGCCTTCGACATATGTAACAGGTTTGCATCTTTAGTTGCTATGCAGTGGCGTATGACTTCAAGTCATCAACCATGGAGATTATTTGAACATATTATTATATAATAGTTGTGAAGTCAACAATTGATTGCATGGACTTGAAAAGCAGTTCAAGTAGAGCTGAGAACAAATCAATTAATCCTTTAGTGTTTCTTGAATGTGCTAGTGTCATATATGATGTACTGGAGAAAAATTCTCTTTTGTATGACATGCCCATTGAACTGATACACTACACTATAAAGATTAAATAATTGTTTTCATTAACATGAGTATTTCAACATACTATACAAGATTCTACCATAATATTCATTTTATCGAGCCTTCAAATCACAGAGTGTGAGATTACCTTACTACTTTCTTAATAACTGTCTGATAACATTCTTTCATGATCAAATTCGACTCGAATACTTGATTTCTTTGATGTGATATGTTTTATAGGACTTGTTGTGGCTATACATGGAAAGGAAACTACTGCTGGTGATTTTCTTGTTGAAGATGTTTTAGAGGCTGGCCTAGCAGAACAAGTGGAGCGGCCATTTCAGTTAGGTGAGGTTTCTTAACATGAATGTTCTCATTCTGTCTTTTTTTATTAAAATATGTACTTGCTTGGTTGTGGTGTATTTCTTTTCTCTGGACTTAATTTGAACTATCATTGCTAATTAATTTTAGTTTCTGGATGTACTGAAATGGATTTAAGATTTCTTTTTTAATTAATCATAATGAACTGATGGTGTATGAGACAAAAATCCCTAAATAGATTTTTTTCATCACAAAATGACATTACTGGACTACTGCTTTCAAATGCTGAAATGAAGTTGGTCTAGGACTTCACTTTGTATCTTAAAGACACTTTACCTTTGTATGGAAGGTTGGAAGAATTCACGTAGAGAATTATTTGTTGCATGAACAGATGAAGACAAGTATGTGGTATTCGTCTCTGGTTTAAGAGTTGGAAGCAGCACCTCCAATCCTTTACAGTTTCAGCTGTTCATCGATCATATAACTGGACATTTAGGGGATGAGAAGGTTTGTTTAGGCTTCTTCTGCTGTGTATTATCCTATTAATATATGTTGAATATGACTAAACATATCTGCTCAACTGCCATAAAAAAGGACCAAAACATTGCATCTAAAATTGTTCAAGTGGTCATTGCTGGAAACTCTGTCGAAATTCCAAGTGGACTCCTAAATGGTCAGGTGAACTCTTTGCTTTCTTCATCATAGAGGACGTTTGCAGAATCTTTCTTTTAATGCTCAGTTTAATTGTTGTTAACTTGTTATTACAGCGTCTCATTTTATCCTCTCTTTGGGTGCAACAAAATCTAAAATAGAAAATAACTTACATGTTGGAACCATTTGCACTATAAGCTTGTCCTGTATGTTCCAAACATTTGGCATTCTTATTTTCATAATGCTAGTTGACACTTGTAATCTCATTAGATGTTTCGCTAGTAATTTTACTTCCTTAAACATTTTTCAGCATTTGACTATTATTTGTATTGCAGAACATCGGCTCAAAAGACCAGTCAAAATTATCAGAGCCAATCAAAGAACTGGATATCATGCTGACTCAGGTCTTCCAATCAACTCATAGTTATTGCATTCTACAATCTTGACATGCATTTAATTTTATATATGTTTTTTATTTTTTAATTCAGATTGCATCAGGCATACCTTTGGATGTCATGCCTGGGCCTAGTGATCCTGCAAATTTCTCCTTGCCACAACAGGTTGTTTTAATTACCTGATCATCTAAATGGTGTGATAATAGTGGTCATCAATGTATTTTCGAGGTTCTCAGTGATGTGCTCATTGTGCTGGATATGTCTAATCTCTAATTAATTCCCATCTTTTGCGACTCATCAGCGCCTACACAGATGCCTTTTCCCAGGGTCATCAACATATAATACTTTCAGATCTTGTACTAATCCCCACTGCTTTGAGCTTGACAAAATTAGGTAAAGCTCATCTTTATATCTTACTTGAAGTAGGTGCTTTTTATAATGTTTGACGCGTGTGTGATTATTAATTACTAGTGCATGCTCTTCAGGTTTCTGGGCACTTCAGGCCAGAACATAGATGACCTTAACAAGTATTCAGAAGCAAAAGATAAACTTGAATTCATGGAGCGCACATTGAAATGGAGGCATTTGGCACCCACCGCACCAAATACCCTTGGTTAGTAAAAGATGCATATACGCTTACCAGTTGTTTTCTTGTAGTAAATTATTAATCCAATTAGCCATTGAATTTCTGGCAACCTATCTAATCAACAATAGCCACTATATGAGATGCAAGTACATGATTCGTTTTTGCATTGTTGATTTTCTCTCATTTTAGGTTGCTATCCATATGATGATAGGGATCCTTTCTTCATTGAATCCTGTCCCCATGTTTATTTCGTGGGCAATCAAGATGAGTATGATACTCGCTTGATCAAAGGTACTTCAATTGTAGTTCGGGACTTTCATATATTGTATTTTAGAATGATTGAAGTATCATGCTCTGTTTGGTAGCATTAATAGGATTGACTTATTCTGTTGCATGCTTCACTTGTTCTGCTGACATGAATTTTATCAAATGCTTTCCTTTCAGATAATTTAGCAGATTTAGCCATTTAGAAAATAACCCTTACCAAATGGGCACTTAATGTTAATGCTTTTGGTTGTGCAGGCTCAGAAGGGCAGGTGGTGAGACTCATAGGCATCCCTAGATTTGCTGAGACGGGAGTTGCTGTGGTGGTAAGAGTTCAGTTATTTTCTCGCATTTGTTTTTCATTTTGGTTTTGAAGTTCACCTTTTGGCATTTATTACTTCCCTGTAGTTAAACATGAGAAATCTTGAATGCTACACTCTTAGCATTGGTGCTCAAATCACCATTTAACCAGCTGGGTGTACAAAACAATTTGAGACCGTGAAGGCCTGAAGCATGCAATCACCTTGCAGTTTCTGTATGCAGCACTTCCTCTTGTCGCATAAAGGAATCATTGAATACAGTTTCTCTTTTGTATCATCAGTCATTTTGGATATGGTGCAATGTATTCATTAGTTGTACAACATGGATCTCCAAGTCATGTCTGATCTCTCCTTGAATGGTTGGTCTTTAACTTTGCTTGCAAAAACAGGCAACTGATTGCATGCATTCAAAGGAGAAGAGCCTAGTGTGTACAATAATGTTTTTGTAGCATAGGAGACACTATACATATTCATATATTCAAAATTATGGGCACTTTCGTACCTATAATAATGTATACTACGTATTAAATTAAAATTCCAACAACGCAAACTATGAAAAATTACAAATAAGTTCATTAACGAATTTCAATAAAGAATTCCATTTTTTAGAGGATAAAGAAGTCCATTAAAAAAATCCATGAACTAACATTATTTTCATATAAAACATCAGAAAGAATAAAATTAGAATAGACCTGCTCACCTGCATAATAATTAGGAACACTAGTTTCCCAAATCTTCAGTAATTACAGAATCCGCAAGAAAATTAGAATTTGATGCTTATATGAGTTCGTATCAATGCTTATTAGAGAAACTAGTGTTTTACCCGCCCGGGATAGATTTTGAAAATGTTTGAAACTTTCTAAGATATACTATGTATATTTATACAATATATAAATAGAGGAATGTTCATGTCAGGCCGGCCTGACGGGCTGCCCCGTCCGGCCGAGTCCGTTTGGGCAACTTCCTGGTGGAATTTTTTGATGATTTTTTTTGAGCATGTTCCTCATTAGGCCTGGACTCGGGCCGGGCGGCCCGACCCGGAACCGGCCCGGCCCGGCCACTGTAGCAACCGGCCCGGTGGCCCGGTCCACCGGCGGTTCGGGTCGAACCGGCCCGGTGGTTCCCGGTTCCGGGCCCGGGCCTTCCATATGGTGAACCGGCCCGGCCGGTTCGGGCCCGGTCCGGGCCAGAATTAATTTTTTTTTTTTTTTTTGAAAATTTTTTATGTTTTGGGTTAGATTAGGTATTTTGGTCCATTTGAGATGGTTTGGGGTGGTTTGGGTTTGAGAAAGAGGGGTAGGGGATTAAATAAAGAAGCCAAAAAAAAAAAAAATTAATAGGGCGGGTGGCCCGGCCCGGAACCGGCCACCCCCGGTTCGGGCTCGGGCCTATATATACTGAACCGAGGCCCGGCCGGGCCCAGGCCCGAGGCCCGAACCGGCCCGGTTCAGTCCACCCCTATTCCTCATCAAGTCTAGTTTGTCCATACCAAATTTCAGCTCAAAATTCGATCGGGAAGGTCGTCAAATGATTTTTGCAAGTTAACTGGTCCGGAATATGTATTTTCCGGACCAGTTAATTTGCAAAAATCATTTGACGACCTTCCCGATTGAATTTTGAGCTGAAATTTGGTATGGACAAACTAGACTTGATGAGGAACATGCTCAAAAAATTTCATCAACAAATTCCACCGGGAAGGTGGCCAAACGGGCTCGGCCGGACGGGGCAGCCCGTCAGGCCGGCCTGATGAGAAGAGCTCTCATATAAATAATTCGTCGTTTGACTTTAAATAAATGTTTAGGGGAATATGAATCATTACATTGTTTGCAGTAAGTATTCTTATTTAGGAAATAAAAATATGATAGTCTTATTTTGGAATATACAAACGTTTTTAGTCTTATTTAGGGTCATTTTCCCATAATATTACGGAGAATAAAACAATAAGAAAAAATATTTTTATATTTAATTGGAGAATCTCACAATGTATGTGTGTGTACTCACAATGAACTTATAGCTTGTTTGATAGTTTACATGTTAAATACTCCGTATTTGAATGTAAATGATTGCATGCAACGTTTAGGGAACCAGTCACTTTGCACTTAAAATAAATAACATTGTTTGACTACATGTGTAATTTATTTTCAATTTGCAACACAAAGGTGTTACAGTGCTTTGTAAAGAACATGCAAAGTATTTTATCACCCTCCCTTCACTTAAAATACTTAATACTTTACCGGGTACAGTGTGAAATGATTTTAAAAAATGCTGTATACTTTACATTAAATAATGTAGTCAAACGGTGTAAATCTTTTACGTCCCTACACTCCACATGTAAATCTTTTAAATCTCTTACATCCTACCAAATACCCTCTTAGTATATTACGTAGTGTATATTTGATCAATAATATCTCAATTTCTTAATATGAAAAATGAAAAAATAAAAAATTAATTCAATTTATTTATCATCCTAAATATATGTACATTTAGTATAAAATATTATTTCCATAGATTTATGGAGAATAAAAAATATAAATAAATATGGTTTATATATATTTAGGAGAATCACACAATGTGTATATAGTCACAATTTACTTATTAATTATATCATACTTTATTAGCATTATTTCAATTCTTTAATTTGAAGATCACAATTCGTATTTTTAAATGCTTCTGTTTTAAGAGTGATTTGAAAGGTAATTTTTTTTAGTAAATGTAAAATTTCAATTTTCAAAGTAAATGAGAATAGTTCTTCAAAAAAAGTAAATGAGAAAAATGTATCAATCAGTTTTAAATCATAACCTCTTATATTTTGAATACACTGACGTTTTCATCACATATTTTAAATAGGAACTACTGTTTTATTAATTGGGAATCTTATAAGGAAAATAGAAAACTTATAATTATATTCTCATTACTAGATCAATTTATTCTTTTGTACTACCTCCGTCCCATATTTATCTTCATAGTTCGGTTTACGATGCTTGACTGACGATAAAGCAACTCCATCCCTGTTCACACTCGGATTATTTTTAGAAAATAAAATTTACATATTCAGAAACTACATTAAAACCGCTACAAAGCCTGATCAAGAAAATTTAAGTTTGATAAAAACTTGATATATAAAGTAAAAGATTAAGAGTAATTTGAGTTGACCATGTGAATAGTAACTATGAAGATAATTTTGGGACGGAGGGAGTATGTTTTTTAAATAAGCGTAACTATTATACGTACTATATCATTCCAATCATCATTATCATTACCCCACTTCTGCAAAATGTATCAATGCTTATTAGAGAAAAGGGTCAAATAAGGCATTCTACTATTATGAAATAGTCACATAAGGTCATGTACTAAAAAAAGTGTCACATAAATATCTCTACTTGTAAAAAGCAATCAAATGAGTCCTAATGACCTATTTAACACCTCTTAATCCCGATTTTAGCGTGCTTTTGACCATTTTTTAGAATAGATTATGCGGCATGCGTCAAATATTTAACTAAGATCGGTTGAAATACAAGTCAAAAAAATTGACATGTAAACTAAAACCGGGATTAGGAGGTTGTAAATAGGTCGTTCGGACTCATTTGATTGTTTTTTTACAAGTATAGGTACTTATATGACACTTTATTGAATACATGGTCTTATGTGATTATTTCATAATAATAGGTCTTATTTGACCCTTTTCTCATGCTTATTATCATCTAAAAATGATGAAATACGACTGACATGAGTTCGTATCCATGCTTATTAGCATCTATTATGTTTTGTTAAAACGCCATGTCAAGCCTATTAAAACAATAAGATATAAAAATTCTTACTCGTTATATAATAGACAAATGAACCCAAATGCTATCAATTAAACCATTTTTTCAATTCAGTTTTAAACAAACAAAAATTAGAAATATCTTTCACTAAATTCGAAAGGTTTGACCAAGTTTTTATTTTTTCACTTTGAACTATTGTGAATTAGGTAGTCATGGACCCGGGCCGGGCCGGTTCCGGGCCGGGCTTTTTTTTTGGGAAGGAAGGCCCGGGACCGGCCCGGGTAGCCACCGGGTCCGGTCCGGGCCGGGCCTCCGGTTCGGTCATTTTTTTTTTTTTGCTTTCCTAACCCCCCCTCACCCCCCCAAACCCCCAAACCCCTCCTAACCATCAAGCCCAACCCGGCTAACCCCAAAAAATGAAAAAAAAAAAAAAAATTCAATTCGGTCCGGGCCCGGGCCCAACCCGGCCGGGCCGGTTCGCCAAATACAAGGCCCGAGCCCGGACACGTCCCCCCACCGGGCCTAGGCCCGACCCGGACCCGGACCCGGACCCGGACCCGAGAACCGGGCCGGTTCCGGGCCCGCACAGACTAGGGGTGTGCACCGGTCCAAAACCGGACCGGACCGGACCGGAACCGGTTAGGACCGGAACCGGAATCTGTATTTTGGATGGACCGAAGACCGGACCTGATAGCAACCGGTCCAGACCAGTCCGGACCTGTTTATTCCGGGTCAGTCCGGTTTTAGACCTGATTGGACCGGTATTAAAAAGCACTTTAGTTTTTGAATTTTTTATGAAGGCATAAATGTGTGCAATCCTTATTCCTTAATAGTGGAAACCTGCAATGCATCATGAGTTTATATAATTCAAGTACTAGTCACTAAATGTTAAGATTAAATATTTCGCAAGGCAAGAACTCCCAATAAGCATAACAAATATATCCATCGGACCATCACTGATTGTTATCTTTATGTATAATGCAGATATGCACTATGTAGTCATGCAACCATGTCAAAAAACGAAAGTAACAAGCAGTAAAAATATTTTGATCAAAGTGTTAACTAGTCCATAGCAATTAGCAAACATAACACACGATACTCTAGTTTGCTAAAGAAGAAACACTGTCATGGCAATCTGCCAATATCCATGGCAAAGTAAAAACAAGAATCTGCCCAAAGAGCTACTGTTTAACAAAAAATAAAATAAAATAAAAGTCCATGTTGAGTAAAATAATTAACCCTATTAGGCTGTGCCACCCCAAACCTAATTAACACTAATACACTAAAACGAATAAAATTATAGTAATAACCGGGTTACCGGTCCGGACCTGTTTTTTCCGGGTTTGACCCGGACCGGACCGGAACCCGGAATCTCAATTTTCAATGGGCCAAGGACCGGACCTATATAATCCGGACCGGTCCGGACCGGTCCACTCCGGTCCGGTTCAGGTCCAAAATGCGGTCTGGACCGGTTTATGCACACCCCTACGCACAGTGGCGGGCCGGGCGGCCCGAACCGGGTCCATGACTAGAATTAGGGCTACTTGGTGTATACTTGTACACATTTTGTGTACACCTTCGCCAAATTGTGTCTACTAGGCAGTTTCTTAACAAATTGATTGTATAGACAAACAAATAGGGGCGTATACAAAAATGTGTACAAAAAGTATATACCAAAAACTAAATAGTTGAAAAATTGTTGATAGAATGCGAAGAAAGAGAACATAAAGAATGGAAAAATGTACGCCGAACTAAAAATTGCACTGCTACTGAATTACATGAATTAACCAATCAACCTTGTTGACTTGCTAAAAATGACATCCCAAATCACAAATAGTATTAGTATATAATTTGAAATGCTTACAGCCTTACATGGTAATACCAATATAAAGTATTTAAATAATAACAATACTAACGATAATAACAACAATGAATCTTTGGGATGAACAAACTTGCTCCCATGTCCGCCTTATCAAATATTGACTTGATGAAGATCTCAAAAACAAGGAAAAATATATAATAGTATATAATAAGGACACGGAAACAAAATAACAAGTTAAAAAAAGGAGAAACAACAAAGAAAAACAATGGAGAAGCAGAGTTATTGCAATCACTTGACAATAAAATGTTTCCACGACAAATCTCTAGTGGTCTTCTACCCATCCAGAATGCTGGCTGAAATTTAAAAGCATTTTCGGTGAACAATTGAAGGGCCAGATTCATCATACTCCGTCTTTGATATCCACATCTGCATTTTGGTCAAAAAGAAAGAACACCAAATTGGCAAAATTTCAGAATAAATTCTAGATTTGTAAATGAAGACCATATTTCATCTACATGTGTTCCAGAAGATTGAAGACTAATAAGAGTGCATAGGCAATGGTTTATTTGGCAAAACTGTCTGAATGGATCATGTTGCTCAAATAATAGGTAATATGGCTAAACTAAATAAAATAAGTAGTTGTAAAAATTCAAGGGTAGAAATACATTTTCTTCCATTTCAGAAAAAAGAGTAACTTTGTACTGTTTTTCTTTCACCATTAATTGATTCATTGAGCATTCAATCACAATCATATGTGTTGGGGGGGGGGGGGGGGCTGTGCATGAGGCACATACCTGCTGGAATGTACTGAGGGAGGCCAAAATAGAACCTCCAATCCAAACACTGTACTTCCTCTCAGGCGGGGCAACAACCTTGATCTTCATACTACTCGGAGCCAATGCCGTGATCTCTTTGCTCATCCTGTCAGCAATACCTGGAAACATGGTGGTCCCACCACTCAGAACAATATTACCGTATAGGTCCTTCCTAATATCAACGTCGCACTTCATGATGGAGTTGTACGTAGTCTCGTGAATTCCGGCGGCTTCCATCCCGATAATTGACGGCTGGAACAGAACCTCCGGGCAGCGGAACCGCTCTGCCCCAATAGTGATCACCTGCCCATCAGGCAGCTCGTAGCTCTTCTCCACAGATGAGCTAGTCTTTGAGGTTTCTAGCTCCTGTTCATAGTCAAGAGCAATGTAGGCCAGTTTCTCTTTCACATCCCTCACGATTTCTCGTTCAGCAGTAGTGGTGAAAGAGTATCCTCTCTCAGTCAGTATCTTCATGAGATGGTCAGTGAGATCACGCCCTGCTAAATCAAGACGCAAGATTGCATGTGGAAGGGCATACCCTTCATATATGGGGACTGTGTGGCTGACACCATCTCCAGAATCCAGAACGATTCCTACAAACCACCAATTATGCAAAATTCTATGAAAATTTGAACATCGATATATTATGGAAGGATCATTGTATGCATTATTCATATTATTCAGCTCAATGCAGATTTACAAATACTGAGTGATTTAAAAATTTGACCCAAACTGCTATTGACAATAACCTTTAGGCCATGCGTGGAATGCAGAAAATGGTAGGGAAGTGGTAAAAAGGATCAGGAATATACTGCATACTTTTTTATGTTAGTCTTCACTTAGAAAAATACGAAGGATTATTGAATTTGCTTAGAATATTCTTTGACCTTTACAAATATTTTGATTTCTTAGTCTGTAGTCTAAAAGAAATTAAAATGAAATAAATTTGAACAACCATGTACATTTGATATGTTAAGTCTAAACCCCTAATTTCCCTCTATCTTCCTCCAAACAATGTTCGTTAACATGTTTCCAGGTCACCAAGAGGGCGTTAACAAGTAATCGATATTATACTAGTACAGAGACTGGCACCAAACTACTACGTATCACATTATTGGTCACAACCACAGTGGACATAAATGCAACCCTACTATTTTTTAGACATTAAATGAAATTTACAGAACCACATTAAACTGAAAACAAATATTAGCATAAAAACAATATAGTAAAAATTGAATCATCATAAAGAATAAAGATAATGCTCACCGGTAGTACGACCACTGGCATAGAGGGAAAGGACTGCCTGAATGGCAACGTACATGGCCGGGGCATTGAATGTTTCAAACATGATTTGCGTCATTTTCTCACGATTAGCCTTAGGGTTAAGAGGAGCTTCTGTGAGGAGTACTGGGTGCTCCTCTGGAGCCACACGAAGTTCATTGTAAAAGGTGTGATGCCATATTTTCTCCATGTCATCCCAATTGCTGACGATCCCGTGCTCAATAGGGTACTTCAGAGTCAAAATACCTCTCTTTGATTGGGCCTCATCTCCAACGTAAGCATCCTTCTGACCCATACCAACCATCACCCCAGTGTGACGGGGGCGTCCAACAATGCTAGGGAAGACAGCTCGTGGAGCATCATCTCCAGCAAATCCAGCCTTTATTTAGAAACAATGACAAATTTGTTGCTAGAGTAAATAAACATGGATAGAAATATGACTTTGATAGCATAATGACTATAATGGTATTTTCAGTGACTGTAGTACCGTGTTGGTGTTCAGCTTTACTATGTATCAAGTATGGTAAACGTTTTGCAGTCATTATAACGACCTAGTCATATTTTCGGTATAAGCTTTATTTTCGTAATACTATAAGAAAAGTGGAAAACCTCCTTTTTATTTTCAAATTAAACAAATCGTATTGGCTTCTTAAACATTCATATAAACACATGAGTTTTTCTAATATGAATGCATGGGGCACAACTGCACAAGTTAAGAATGAATAAATTAGCATTTAATGTATGCTTTTTCATAATTTTCCAAGAATATGGTGGTAAATGTATAAATTTTAGAGGTAATTATATCCATATAATTATTTTTTCCTTCTAACCATTAAAACCTTTGGACGCTTGAAAATAAATCAAATTAAATGCTCTTTATCATGTGCCCTTGGACAAACATTAGAAAAAGCCTACATACATATCCAATAATGAATTGGAAGGACCACACCAATATACTTACTCCATCCCAAAAGTAGCCATTGTATGAAAACATATTTTTGTCCCGAAAGACCTAAAACTAAGACAAATGAATCGAAATTGCAATGCATTTAATGCAATTTTTACAATAAGATCTCTAACCAAGTCAAACATTGTTTATTTTTATTGTAAATGGCTTATATTAAATCACCATAAATCAGGTAAGATACACCTAGACAATCATTGTTAAAAATTTAGTTTTAAAAATAAATGAATTAAATACGTATGTAAGATCGAAGATTATCAAGAGTTTTACCTTTCCAAAATGAAACTACATCTTGATGAAACATTAGACTTTTTTTATTGGGACAGGGGTCATCATATGTTTAAAATACTTCTTACCTTGACCATTCCGGTTCCATTGTCACAGACAAGAGGCTGGATATCCTCACCTTCGGCCATCTTTTAATTTTCTGAGAAGAAAAAAGAGCTCGTTAATGCACACATAGAGGCCAGATGTATCCTATGTGTAGCATACTCCTAAAATGACATCAAATGCTTAAATACAGCTTCACAGATCACTCGATAAAAACCGACTTTAGCATTACTTATATTCTAAGTTGTATTGCATTCCATCTTCATGAATCCCACAGCTGTTATAAATTAAGATATTCATTTTAATTACATCTTAAATCACATTTTCGCACAAAGATATACAGGGTAATCCAAGCAATCACTTTTGATCTTGAAGCAAGCATTCATGTGGTAAAACATTTCCATGATCGACCCCATAAAAGAATCAAAGAACAGAGAAAAGTTAAAACTTTTACATAGAAATTGTAGCCTGGGTGATATATGATATATCCAACATGTCATTCTCAATCCCTAATCGAACACTTGGGGCATGTTTTGCTTCCCAATCAGAGTCCAAAAAGGATCAGACTTGTATATATTAGGAATATATCAAAAGTAATGCTTGAGCAGTTTCCAGAGTTGGGATCTACAAATTTCAGATCCGTAGATCCAACTCTATTAAAATTATAATCAAATCAACCTATGCAGCATTGGAAATAGAAATTCAAAATTCAAAATTCAAAATGCAGAATCAAATAGTCTAAACAAAAGGCAGTCAAATGATTCAACCTTTCCAGCAAATTACAAGAAAAAAACAGCTAAACGCCTCAGAGATCCAGACTTCGATCGAAAACACAAATGTACAGGAAATAAATTTCGGATTGAGAGGTAAAGATTGTACCTTTATTGGGTTATTCTTATTATGTTTTGAAATACGGGTATTCCTGGAGGGGGTGGATATGTGCCTGTCTCCGCACCCGGACACTCTTTAAACAGAGGATGGAGGCAATGCGTCAGGCTTAAAAGGCGGATGTCCAAAACTCAATCTCAGCCTCAAATGAAATTCAGATGAAATGAGCCTCAAATTCATTTTGCACAAATCAGAGCCGTTGGCTGTGTATGATTGATCCATCTTTACTGGGTGGGGCCCAGAAGACACATCATATTCATGGATGATTTAGCTGGCTGCCTTTCCCACCCACTATTACAATTTGTGGACAAATATGAATTATTCTAATTTTGGATAACCTGTTTTTTTATCTTTGCAATTTTGCAACCATCCGCCTTAATGGAAATGTGACAAACACAAACCTAACTTGCATTATGCCATTATGGGATGTAGGGATTTATATTATCCATCTAAGCTTGGAAGCCTTTAATTTTAACATGCAACAGATAAATGTTTAGTTTTGGTTTTTAAGTAAACGGTTTATATACATCACTCTGATTTGACATATAAAAATTTACTCAAAATTGATTACAACTTTTCATTGAGCATACGAGAGTTCGAAACAATACCTTCAATCATAGTAAACTAAATATCCCAAGAGTGACACTGACACAAACAAATCAAATTTGATAGAAATTGTTTAACGAAATCAATTTAAAATTTGGATTAAAATAAAACAAAAATGTCAATTGGTTAAACTCCAACATGAATCGCCATCTTTACATCCCGAGCAACACGTTCACTCCATGACGGTCTAGGAGGGGCCGAGCCATCAATATCTCCGAGTTGAAGATTGAATATTTCTATCACAAATTGAGAAGAATTCACAATCATCACTCCTTATTCCATCATTGACAACCGATCACAAACTTGCTCCAAAGCTTTGATGTTACTCATCCTAAAAAATGCCATGTTGCGCATCAATGTCACATTGATGGATCTATGTTAGGGCTATGGTGGGCTGAAGCCCAGAGTAAAGTCAAAAAAGAAAATTTGTTTAAGGTATTATTTTTAAAAGTTTCCATCTAGCCACTCCAAATTTTCTATAGCCTAGTCTAATTTTTCACCCCAGTCCATAAAACAAAATCATACCATTTAAAATTCAAAAAATATACTCTGTAACCTAAATGTTATACGCATCACGGCAGGACCGACCCAGTGGAAAGGCAACTAGTGCAATGGCACAGGGTCTCAAGAAATAGAAGGCACAAAAACATTTGTAGTATTAATTAGGTAGCCCACTAGCCCAAATTCAATAAAAATAGGCTAATACTAATAGCCATGTGATGAATGTTGAGATTTGGAGGAATAAAAGACAATTTTATTAATGTAAAATATTGAGTACAAAGGTGGGGAGTCTCTCTTACTCTCACTCTTGAGGATGCTTCACTCTCTTGGTGGTGATGGAGTTGTGTCCATCCACCTCTATTTATACTAGCTAGCCTAAGGAGGTGAGAGTGTTTCTAGATCCTTCCACATTAATTACATTCTAGATTATTCTCACATCTATTACATTCTAGAGTATTTCTATCTAACTCTCATTCAATACTCTATCTAGAGAATTCTACACTTCCTAGAATTCATAAAGAAGATTATAGAAGATTCTAGAGAACTTAATAAAGAAGATTCTAGAAGATTCTAGAGAGTCGTTGACTTTTCAACACTCCCCCTCAACGACTACTCTATCTTATTGCAGATCTTGCAACCATGCCAAGTTGATCCCTCAAGCTCTCGAACTGCGTAGTGTTTAGTCCTTTGGTGAACAAATCAGCAATTTGATTTTCTGTCCTGATGTATTTCATCTCAATATCTCCTTTAAGGACCTTTTCTCGTATGAAATGATAATGAACCTCCACATGTTTTGTCCTTGCGTGAAAGATTGGGTTCTTCGCGAGCCGTATTGCTGATTGGTTATCACAATGTAATGTTATTGGCTCGTCAATTGGTTGATGAAGATCTTTTAGAAGTTGCATCAACCATGCACTCTCTTGAGCTGCCATTGCTGCTGCTCTATATTCTGCTTCTGTAGTTGATAATGACACCGTTGGTTGTCTTTTGCTACACCATGAAACAGTGCCCGTCCCAAGACTAAATGTGTAACCAGTGGTAGAGCGACGAGTATCATGATCTCCAGCATAATCAGCATCACAATGGCCTACCACTTCAAATGATGCATCTCTTTTATACAATATGCCGAAATCCAAAGTTCCTTTTATGTACCTCATTATGCGCCGGATTGCATCTAAGTGTGGCTTCCTTGGCTTCACCATGAACCGACTCACTACTCCTACCGTGAACATGATATCCGGCCTTGTGATTGTTAAGTAGATAAGACTTCCAACAAGTTGTCTGTACATTGTGGAGTCCTCTAATTCTCGACCTTCAACTGTGCACATCTTCACATTCGGCTCTATAGGAGTTGATATCGGTTTGCAATATAATCAAGCATCCCAAATTTTTCAAGTATGTCTTTTGCATACTTGTGTTGGCACAAGAATATTCCTTCTTTAGTTCGTTCAACCTCAAGGCCCAAGAAATGTTGTAGTTCTCCAAGCTCTTTCATTTGGAACCTCACTGATAAATTTCCTCGTATTTCATTGATCTCCTTCTCATGATTCCCGGTGATGATTAGATCACTAGATGAGTTTTTTTTTGTTTCAAATCCTCATCTAGGACAAATTTAATGGACAACTCTTATATTTGATTTTCTGCTTATTTTGAAAATTTTCAATGTAATATCATTTATGTGTTTCAGCCCACCCCAACATAAAATCCTGGATCCGCCCCTGTCAATGTGTCTGTCCACACACAACAAAACCTTTCTAATTGCTGGTGGGCGTAGTTCAACTAGTAGATAGGGATGACATAAGAGGTAAGTTTCAGATTCAAATCACAACTGCGATGAGAGGTCAATATTTAAAAGTGTATAGAACTTTTGCAAATACATGAGACGGAATCTCACTAGCTATCTATCAATTTGAAATTAAAGTCTTATCCTCTCAATTAACTATCTGTGTGTTGGGGGTTACCAAGGATGAATGTCATATGCATCCTTTTACAAAACCCTTCCAACCGACGAGAAAACCAACAAAAAACCCCTCCTACGGCTAAGAAACTGTCGCTTAGAAACCAGTCTAAATGCTAGGCGTCAGCCTAGGCACGTCCGCTATGGTGTTGGAGAGAGCCGCTCCTCACGATAATGTTTACTTATGTTTCTATTTTTTTTTCACCATTTCTGAAAACCTAAATGATAGTGCAGTTTGATTGTATCTTTTGTTTCTATAAATAATTCATATTTTTGCAATAACAATTTAAGAACGAGAAACACCAAAACGAGCCATGTTTCTTTGTCATCTCAGGGTTTTGAACGTAACAACGTTACTTCCTTGAGTCCCTTCAACCTATTGAACATAGAAGAGGAATGTGACACACAAATTGAACATTGTGATTGTATGATTCAATTGATATTTTATATACTACGTACGTATTAATGAGTAATGTCTTGAGTCATATAAATATGAGAACAATTATGGTATTAGACTATTAGATAAACTAAAATGTAACAAATGGGACGAATCCTCTCATAACAAGAATCAGTATATATTATACTTTGCAAAACCACATTATTTACAAATTTTCTCTGTTATTTATTAATTGTCCAGTCCTATAAGTTTTTTCACGGTATATATTTGAGATTTTGATGTGAAAATAGTAGGGATTATATTTATATAAATATGGTAAGCCCTGGGTTTGCCGTTTGTGTTAAAATGAAATGTATGAAAGACAATGTATTAAGAAAGATAATTCCACTTTCTCAATTTAAGAAAGGTAATACATTTAAAAGAAGAGAAACTAGACAAAATAAGAGAAACTTATCCATTTTTCTCAATTGATGATTTAATTAGTTAGTTTCTCCTCAAAATAATACTACCTCCATCCCAAAATGATTTGTCAAATCCAAAACTTTGACCAATAGTATATATTTATTGGGAATTATTTATAAAATAAAAATGATATGAAAATGTTCTTTGTTAAAAGTCTAAAATTATGATTTTCATAATATTATACTAATCGAAACCATGGTCCAAATTTTGAGATTTGGCTAAACATTTTGGGACGGAGGTAATATCTAAATGATCATATTTAAATATGGAGTAATATATTTAATAAATAAATTAATAAATACGTAGTAAATTTATATGGATTATTATGCACTTAATCTATTATTATAAAGTTCTGGCTTCCTTCTCTCTTCTTTATTGCTTGCTTGGAGTCATCCCGTTAGTCGTCAGCTGTCTGCATCCGACCAGCAGCCGACCGCCCTCACTTGCTAGCAGCACGCCAAGACGGTTGTTGTTGGGGTCACCGTTTATTGAGGCCACGCTGTCCATCTTCGCCATTGTTGAGGTCGCGCAACCCAAGGTCGGCACAACCCAATGTCAATGCCCATTGGGGGGTTGTGCAATGAATTGAAGTGAATAGATAGTGTTACTTAATAATTTTGACGTAAAATGCAGTGATTATGACAAAACAAATACTATAATAGGTTAGAAATATTTTCCCAAAAAAATGACAACAACTACATTAATTTAGAGCAACAACGTCGACATAAAGTGCAGTAATGTCGTGCAATAATGTCTGCATGAAGTGCAATATTTTTATTGGGCGAAAGGAGTGAAAGTGCCAAGTTTGAAAAATATTGCAATATTTAAACTTTAGTACTGTCAAAACATTGCAATAATTACTCTTATTTCGGGATTAAAAACATGACAATCCTACTTAGAAATTTTAGAATGATCTTACTCCTATATAAGGGAACTTCTCAAAATACTATGTGTCTCCGCGAGACTTAGAAGATCTCTAATGCTACAATGTACATGATGCACGTGTAACATGAGAGAGATAGACACATAAATATTAATGAGTAATATACATATCTTCTTATTTAAAAATGTCATATGTGTTTTGATAAGTTTTTCTCTACCATGTCAAAACAAAGATCTAGATATAGACATTGTGATTAACATTATTGTTAAAAATTTAC